ATTATTCACCACCTTGAAACCCTTTATCCACCCCTTTTGATTTGCCTTCTTGATTTTACTATTCAGCCCTTCCATTGCAATTATAAAAAGGAAAGGAGATAGAGGGTCTCCTTGCCTTAAACCTCTCTGTGAAGAAAAGAACCTCTCTAGAGAGCCATTAACCAAGATAGAGAACTTAACATTGCTTATGCAGAAACCTATCCCCCTGATCCATTTATTTCCAAAACCCAATTGATATGATCATCAGTTTGCCTAGAATCCCAGGAATTCGCCCTTTAATTCTAGAATCCACACACACATTTGCTATTAAAGCAGCATCTATGATCTTCCTGCCTTTGATGAAGGCCATTTGTTGAGTGTCAACCAGCTTGTTAATCACTGTCTTCGGTCTTTGTGTCAGCACCTTTGATATGATCTTATACACACTACCTATAAGACTTATAGGTGTGTAATCCTTCAAGTCCACAGCCCAACCTTCTTAGGAGTTAAAGCTACATAAGTAGCATTAAAACTTTTCTCAGAAAGTTCCTGTGAATTAATATTTTGTATGCGAAACATCTTCTTTGATCACATCTCAGCACTACATAAAGAAACCCATGGTGTACCCATCTAAACTCGGGGCTTTGTCTGCAGCATAAGCCTTTAAACCCTCAAGGATTTCTTGCTCTTCGAACTCCCTCTGTAGCCATTGTTCCTCTACCTCACTGATTCTGGGGAAGTTAGGGCCGTTGAACTCTGGCCTTTAAGCTTCAGGTTCAGCATACAATGATTGATAGAAAGCTAAAATCTCACCCTTAATAGCATTCATGTCCTCAGCCTGTGTCGCATCAATGTTATTAAACCTTCTATGAGCATTAGCTTTTTTTATAAGGTAAAATTTTATTAAATGAAAAAAGGTACCAAGATGGTATAAATATAATAGGTCAGCAACTAACACAAAACAGACCCTATTTCTCTAACCATATTGTCCATAAAACACAGAGAGGAATTGTTCTTCACGAAGCCAATTGACTCTGCCATCTTTTGAAATTGCCATGTTTCCGGTAAGCTTTTCACATTTGAGGGCATTGCCCGTCTGACTTCATACATATTTAGAAAGAGCTCCCAGCATTGTTTTGCCACTTTGCAATGAATAAAGAGATGATTGACAGTTTCTAAATCTTCTTCACACATATAGTATCAGTTAATCAGAATAGTTCCTCTCCTTTACATATTTTCCTGAGTTAAACAAGCTTCCTTTGCCGCCACCCACCCAAAACAAGCTACTTTAACAGGTGTTTAGATTTTCAAATTGCTTTCTATGGCCAGTCTGAATCATGCATCCCCAGTTGCTTTTGTAATAAAGTGTAGCATCTATTGAGAGTGAATTTTCCATCACCACTAGCAGCCAGATTAATGAATTTTTCTTATTATCCTCCAAATTAACACTGTCCAGCAACTGCAACAATTGAGCATATTCATCTATTTCCCAGTCATTAAGGCCTCTCATAAACATCAATACCAGCCGTTATTTGAGTACAAATCTGATATATTTCCCTTTTTGTTTGTCGAGCAACTGTATAAAACTGGAAATCTTGATCTGAAACTCTCATTTCCCATCCATACATCATACCAGAATAAAATACTATTGCCATTCCCCCATTTCAGCTTAATAAGCTGTCTATATTCACCCCATAGATTGCTAATGGTAATCAAAACTCCTCCCACAGAAGAAGACTCACAAGGAGTCCAATAATCCTTCCTTCCATATTTGACTTCAACAAGTTGCTTCCATAGTCAGTTGCTGCCATCATTAAACCTCCAAAGCCATTTACATAATAGGCTTTTAATTATGCAACCTCAAATTTCTTACTCCCAACCCCCTTCTTACCTTTTAACAGCTCTTTCCATTTAACCAAATGAAATTTCCTGCTATCAGCATTACCTTCCCACAGGAATTTATTTCTCATAGCATTCAATTTTTTCTCTATTGTTGCTGGCATTTTGAAAAGGGGCATCAGATAAGTTGGTATACCATCCAACACACTATTAATCAATGTAAGTCTTCCCCCAATGACAAGAATTGCGTTTTCCATGGAGCTAATTTGCGGTTACATCTGTCCAATACTCCTTGCCACATCTTCTTATCATTCTTCTTAGCTCCTAGTGGTAAGCCTAAATAAGTGGTAGGTCGTTGCTCCACCTTACAGCCCATAATATCTGCCAGATCACTAATGCAATGATCTGCATTAATACTAAATACACTACTCTTAGCTAGGTTCACTTTCAATCCTAATACAGCTTCAAAAGCTAATAGTATCTCTCTTAGATGTAGGAAATTACCTTTCTCAACTTCACATAAAACCAAAGTATCATCAGCATAAAGTATGTGTGACACTGTTAATTCTTCTCCCTGATTTCTTCCACATTTCAGCCCTCTAATCCATCCCAAATTTTCTGCTTTTTGAAGCATTCTGCTCAAAATTTTCATCATCAACAAAACAAAACAGTTTAATCCACTCACATTCCACAAAATAATGTTGACCTTCATTAATAACCATCCCATACTGATTTCCCCCAATTCCAAAAGCTAGACTCTGGAAAATTCACATTGAAAACAAAATTCTATACCTCAAAGCTCCCTTGCTCCCTCTTAGGAGTAGTGCATGTCTTCAGAATTGCTGCCTCCCTCAACTCTTGTCTACGACTGTCAATTTTCATAAATAGAGATAAAGCTTCCTTTTCACACCCCTGAAAGTTAACGTCGTATGCCTTACTCAGCTTTAAGATATTTTTGTGGACCCACAGAGAAGCATCCATCTCTGCCTCGATGAATTACACATCAAGAGGTTCTACGTCATCTACTGACCATGATTCACAGTCTTCATCAACAACCATCTGGTTAGAACTAGAAGAAAGAGAAGAAAAAGGAATGATTTCTCTCTCTGAGTTTGTCCCCCTATCTCCCTCTTCTTCACCTTGCAAGCTGGTATTTTCTGTGGAAGCTATCACGAAAGTTCTTTCGTCTCTCTCTAGAAAAGGTACCAAAGGAAGTGAATTAATTGTGTTGAGATTCGCTATTATTTCTGCCTCCCTTGGATCGGATCTATAACTAGAGCCCAGAACCAAAAATCTATTTTCTGATCTAAAATTAACACCAATTTCTGGGCTTTTTAAAATCTCAAAATTGGGCCCAGAACTATCAGGAATTAAAGAGCCCCTTGACCCATAACCTTTGGCCTAGTCATTATCTTCCTTACTGGCACTTCTTTAACTAGTGGACCCCTATTCCCTTTATATTTTTCCCAGCTTACAATTCTTTAACCACTGGACCCCGATTCAAATTCAAACCGCACCTACCCTTAGCCATGTGCCCTGTCCCATCCACCACTTTTGCCACCTAGTCCATAGGGTTTAGATATATCTCCCACCGTCACCGCAGCTTCATCAGTTCTGGCGCTCCAACTCACTGGTGCTTCACTCCAAACCGGAATCGAGAAGACAACACCAATTTTTTCCACCTCTATACTTCTGGGAATTGCTTCAAAATGGACCCTTTACTTTCAATCGAGCCCATTTTAGATGATTATGCAGAGATGTTTCTTCCTCTGTCTCAATCCACCCTCCACGTCTATCCCAATCTCCTTAAACATTTTCTGAGACCATAGATGAAAAGGTAAACCCAGAACCCTAATTCATACCCATTCGAGGTTGGTAGTGGCTGAAAGACACCTTGCAGGCACCCTGCTATCGGTGACCACCAGTCAAGCTTCATTAAATTGTTTCTCCATCTCCACTCCCCCATCATAGAATGCTATGCCATTTTCCTGGAAGGAAACTCGAAGAAATATTTTGAACCATGTAGATCATACATTTGTATCCCTGGGATTGCACTCCATTTGTTGCTAGACCACCTCCTAATGTCAGAGAAAGTGGGTAATTCCTTACTGATTACAAAGCTCCAGATTAGACATCTGCTCAAAAATCTTCATCGCCTATGGCTGGCCATTCATAACTATTCATTGTGATGTAGAATGGTTCTCCAACGACGAGAATCCCCCTTTTGCTTCCCACTTATCAGTTTTGAATGCTTCTTTGTATGACTGATCCGCAGCAGTTATTATCAGAGGGTTCACATGTATCTGTATAACTGGAGACCCCCTATTAATGAACCTTTCTATCTTTAATGCAACTTCCTTCCGGCCTGCATTAAATGTAGCTTCTGGAAGAATTATAACTGCTCTACGTACTCCTTGCACTGCAACAACACTAATGAACTTGCCATAGTCATTGAACATTTTGGCACAATAAAAACTAAAGACATCACCGCGACTCTTCCATCTCCTGATACCATTCCCCTTCCCTTCTGAAGTGATATGCAGGAGCTCACATATCCACAGCAAGACTTTCCGGCTTAGGGAAATCCTCCTCATGAAATTTGTCTTTCGCTCCACCCACTCATACCAAATCTGTGCTCTATCTTTGTTCTCAGTAATATGGAAAGACTTATCACCAATATTGAATAGATTCTGCTATCCATGATAAAAAGAAAGAAAATGAAGTTTTAAAACAATCACCAAGGAATGATTGATAAAAAACTAAGTTAATCCAAGCAACCAGACATCTCACAGTAGGCAAAACTCACTGGAAAGAGGTTTTGGACTCTATTCTAGGGACTCGTGCCCGAGAGCATTTTTTCAAACTTCTAAGCAGATGAAAATCATACTACTCTATTTTAAATGTAAATATTCAAGAGTGACCAAAGTCTGCTGGTTAATAAAACATATAGACCAGCAAAAATGTGCATAAAATCAAAGTTCCTCACTAGATCTCATGACCCTCAAAATTAGTAAGAAAATCAAGAACGGGATCCATAGTCAAGTCTACCATATTTACACATTTAGTGTAAGATCAGTTAACATGTTGTCTTTATTCTTTTGCACATTCAAGAAAGGTATAAATCTGACCAATGGGATAGCAAATGTAATTTAGGAGCCATATAAGAATTTAAATCTTCTAACCTTCGTACTGCCAAACCAAATTCCAAGATCATAATTGATTCCACCAGATATCCGATATGCCTAGTACGCCAAAAGAGCTACAGCCAGGGGAAGAAGATTCATCAGTTAGACAGTTCCACAAGATACTAACAAGCTTTTCCATTATACACGAACAGAAAGAAAAATATTGACTTAGCAATTGGAAATTATGAAAATTCAAATCACCTTATAATCAAACACATACATAAGCTGAAAGCAAGCAATACACAAAAACCAGTAAAGGCACATTTGGCCAATCTTCCAAAATCAACTTATTTTGAGAAACACTTTTGCCAAAATAGATTGTCAAAGAAGTACTTGGGGAGAATAGCAGCTTGCATGTGGCCACACAATTTGAAAAGCACGTTTTGTTTAGCCAATCTTTTCAAAAGGTGACTTTGAGTGTCAAATTATGAAGAAAAAAACATCTAAATATTCGCTTTACATCTAAATCTGATTTGCGCCATCTTTGTTTCCGTGAGTGTTGTGCGAAAAGCAACACCACCAGCAGGCTCCTCAGGTTCCGGTGAGAAAACCCCAGCCAACCCCACCGAAAAAATCCTCCCCATGCGCCCTCACGCGCCGAACAGAGGAGGAATTTTCCGGCAAAATTTCTTCAGGACAGCTTGCTCGCAAGGGAATTCCGAGCCTATACATCCAGGTTACAACAAATTCCGACGACCTTTTTATTTTTCGGCGAGTTGTTTGCAGATTCTGGCAGTTGTTTACTTTTTCCAGCGAGCTAAACTGACTATCCTTTATTTCTTTTTTCTGTTTTTGGTGATATTTTGCTAGAACTCTCCTTCAATCTTATCATGTCTCTAGGGTTGGATATTTTTGGTTCCATAAACACAAGAATTGAGAGTTCAAGTGTTATGATTACCAGTGTTTTTGAAAGCGAGAAGCGCAAAAAAGCGACAGGGGCTTGCCTCGCTTCAAAAGCGAAGCGCACGCTTCATTGAAGTGAAGCGCAATTCTTAAAAACATAATGTAAACCTTGCAAAGACACAATATAAATAATCAAAAAGTTCAATTTATATATANACTCAAAATATAATATATATATATATATATATATAAAAAAATAATTAACTTTATAAATTGAAATACACATACAAATTAATAAATAAAGGCTAAAATACTAAATGAGAAGAATAAAAGGAAGAAAAAAATCGCGCCTGCCCTAGCTGTGAGCAGACGCCTGCACGGGAACAAGAAGAAGAAAGAAGAAAGAAAAAATGGAGAAGAAGAACGGAGAAGAAGAAGAAGAAGAAAGAAGAAAGAAGAAAAATTACCAGGAGGATTGGAGAGGTCTTTGGCGACTTGAACCCTAGCAGCACTTAGCAGCAATTGATTTTGGGAAGAAGAGAGAAATGGTCTTCGCTTTGGTCTTAGGGGTCTGTTTTGTATAATAAAAAAACATACCCAAACTTTTTTAAAAAAAAACTGACCGTCTAAACAGAAGCGAGCGATTCTGCGCTTCTCGCTTCAAGGTCACTTCGCATTTTTTCAACTGAAGCGAGCGCTTCGTGTGGTCGAGTCGCCTCAGGCATGGAAAAGCGAGCAGCCATCGCTTCGTGTCGCTTCTCGCTTAAAGCGATCGCTTCGTCACTTTTTAAAACACTGATGATTACTTCAAAATCCTTAATGGGAAGTTCAAAGTACATAGCTTGGGCTTCCTCGATTGAGTTGTGGTGCAAGGATCAAGGATGTCATGATCACTTAACCAAAAAGACTAGTGAGAGATGAAAAGGTCAAATCACTTTGGGAGAAGATCGGTGCTCAGTTGTGTAATATCTTGTGGCGATCTATTGATTCCAAGTTGATGCTTTTGTTTCGTCCATTACAGACATGTCATTTAGTTTGGGAAAAGGGTCGCACCTTATACACTAATGACATATCTCATGTTTATGATGTGATATCACGGGTGAGAAATTTGAAGAAACAGGATTTGGATATGTCTACTTACTTGGGACAAGTACAGACAGTCATAGAGGTATTCGAAAAGTTGATGCCAGCTTCTGCTAGTGTTGAAAAGCGGCAAGAACAACAACAGAAGATGTTTCTAGTTCTTACACTCGCTGGACTTGCTAATGACCTTGATTCAGTACGCGACCAGACTTTGGCTAGTCCGACTGTCTCTACAGTTGATGAATTATTCTCTCAATTACTTTGCCTTGCTGCAGCGCCTAGTCATACAGTGATCTCATTACAAACAGCTGAACCCTCTGTTCTCGAATCCCAGACAGAGGAAAATCGAGCATCTCCAACTATGGAGAATAGACGAGGAGGATTGGAAGGTCTCGATCCAAGTGTTCTTATTGTAATAAGCTTGGACACACTCGTGAGGTATGTTACTTTTTACGTGGCCGACCACCTAAACATGCACATGTTGCTCAAACCGAGATTGCAAGTAACCAAGGTTTTTTTATCTGAAGGGGAATATAATGAGTTCCTTCAGTATCGAGCAAGTAAGCAGACACCTCCACAAGTAGCATCTGTTGCTCAAATTGATACTTCTATTGCTGGTAATTCCTTTACATGTGGTTCTATGTCTACTACTCGTGGACCGTCGGTCATGAACTCAGGCGCCTTTGATCATATTTCTAGTAATAGGTCACTTTTGTCAAATATTATTTATTTACAATCTCTTTCCAATGCTACTCTAGTCAATGGAGTCCAAACAAAAGCAAAAGTTGTTGGACAAGCTAATCTCATATCCATTGTCACTTTATACTCTGGTCTTTATGTCCCTGGCTATCCTTTTAATCTTGCATCTATTAGTCGGTTGACTCATGCCCTCCATTGTGGTATATATTTTATTTACAATTCTTTTGTTATGCAGGACCACAGTACGGGACAGACGATCGGCACAGGGCGTGAATCACAAGGCCTTTATTCCCTTGACTCACTCAATCCCTCCACAACATGTCCAGTTACAAATCCTCCCGACCTAATTCACAGGCGTTCAGGACATCTAACTTTATCCAAGCTTTAGAAGATAGTGCCTAGTTTGTCTAGTTTGTCTACATTAGATTGAGTCATGTAACTTGGGGAACATACCAGAGCCACCTTTTTGCGTGGTGCTGAGAGTTATGCAAAGTATTTTTTCTTTAGTTCATTATGATATATAGGGCCCTAGTAGAGTCAGACTGTCAGTTCAATCTTAGGATTTTGTTATTTTGTTAGTCTCGTTGATGATTACTGAACATGTACTTGGATTTTCCGAATGAAAGATCGTTCTAAGTTATTTTCTACAGTGTTATCAAAGGTGCGCTTAAAGCGCGCTTAAACCTTGAAGCGAGGCTCAAAACATGTTGAGCGCTTCGCTTTGCTTAGCGAGTGCTTCAGTGCTTTCATCAAGGCTCCAAGGCATACTTTTCCTTGCAAATGAGCGTAATCTTGAAGAGGCAACACAAAATAATTAATATTTCACTTTATCGTAACTTTTCTTCAATTTCTTTGTTCATATATTTGGTATTCATGCTTATAGATATTAGTCATGGACTACATATACATATTTGTAGTTTTTATCCATTTGCGCCTTTCTTAATTAAAACTCACGTTTTTTTTGCACTTTGCATTTAAAGTCCTAATAGACCTTAGAGCTTTTTTGCGCTAATCTCCTTTGATAACATTGGGTTTCTATATTCCAGAGCTTTTGTGCTCAAATAAAAAATCAATTTGGCGTTTGTATTCGCATCTTTCACAGTGATAATGCCTTAGAATACTTATCCTCTCAATTTCAGCAGTTTATGACTTCTCGGGGAAGTATTCATCAAACATCTTATCTGTATACCCCTCAACAGAATGGGGTAGCAGAAAGAAAAGAATAAGCACCTCACTGAGATTACTGGTGGCATACTTCTCATTAAACCCCATCCAGAGTCAGATTCCACATTCAGTATTGTTTCCTCAGTCACCCTTATACTCTATTCCCGCTTGTGTTTTCGGGAGAACATGTTTCGTTCATAACTTAGCTCCCGGAAAAGATAAGTTAGCTCCTCGTCCTCTCAAGTGTATCTTCCTTAGTTATTCACGAGGTCAAAAGAGATCATTGCTATTCATATGATCTTCGTTTCGTAGGTACCTTATGTCAGCTGATTTCACATTTTGTGAGTCTCGACCTTACTTTACTTCTTCTGACCACCTTGATATATATGGGGTCTTACCTATACCGACTCTAATGAAGAGCTTACTATAGCTCTTCCTACATTCTCAATCACAGAAGTTTTACCCATACCGACCGTTGAGGAATCTAGCGTTGTTCTTCCTAGATCCCCAACCACAGGAAGACCACTCTTAACTTATTATCGTTGTCCGAATCCAGCATCAGTCCCAGCTGATTCACATCATGCACCTGACCCTACTCCTACTGCGGATTTGTCTCCTCCTAGTCCACTAATTGTACTTCGGAAAGTATATGGTCCACATTAATCCTAATCCTGTCGGTTTAAGTTATCATCGTCTGTAGTGAGACTGGATTTAATCCAACTGGAGTCATGTTCACTAAGATGGAATATTTCATTGTAGTGAGACTGAATTTATTCCATTTGATCCATTTGTCACCAAACCGCATATCCATCAGCATTTCTAGTAAATAAGACTAGTTAACTTTTTCAAAAACTCTCTCTACATCTAGCTTGCATAAAATCCCAGGAATCCCACTTTTTAACCTCCCATCTAGTAACTCACACCACAATTGAAACACTATTTACTCCCACACAATCTCACTCCTTCACCAGCTTCTTCACAAGAAACACACACAAATACACACCCATGTCTGTAGCCGAAAACCCCAATAGCAGTACAAAAGTTCTGTAAACAGATCTAACGAAAACCACAGCCAGATCCAACTCCACATTTTTTTTGATAAGAGACAAACTCTACTTCACCCATTTAGTTTGGTTGAGAAGGCACCAGTAAGGAATTACGATGTTGGAGGTCTCTCCTAAAGCTCCATCTCGAGGCCCACGACTTTCCTTGGAGAAATTAACTAGGGTAGCGGCCTCGACATTTTTGCTGACAAAACTAGGTCAAGTTAGCAATCACAATGGTGACAAGAGCAAATTTAGACAAAAATGGGCTTTTCACCAAAATGCAACCGAGAATTGCGTCAAATGTTTGTCTGTTTTGTTCTAATTTTATTGGGTCATGAAGGGATGTGTCTTATGTTTTCTTTACTTGTTAACAACAGTTCCATTTGTATTATTTCGTACTTATGTTGGTGAAAATGGTGTTTTGAGATACAGGAGTGTAAGAAGGTGTTGGGCAACGACAGCGGAGAAGTTGATACCAGTGGCGTCGAGGGCACTGCTTCAATCGACGGAGACTACCTCACAAGGTTATATTTGGGTTTTAGGTTGATGAAGATGATGATGTGCCATGATTTTATAGGTCGTGGCAATGATGTGTAACACATCAGGGCAAGTGAGAAACACATAGAGTTATATGTGTTTAAAATGTGTATTCTGACCAACTAGAGGTGTTCAATTGGAAAATTGTGAAGTAAGGGGGAACAACTTTACATGATTTTTTTCCATCTACCTAATCCATGGTGAGAGGAGTTACCCAGTACTAATATTAGTGGAAGGCAGCAGGTATCCGGTGGAATAATCAAGAACCATTCAAGCTTCATACCGCTGTATCAAAAAATTAAGGATAGTTTGGTAAAATTCAGTTTTTGCTAAGCATATTTTCGTCTTGAAATATTAATTTTCTACTTCTGCTTCCAATGAGAAGCTACAAGTTTCTGCTTCCTCTGTACTCCTTCGAATCACTTTTTTTCGAGAAATTGGCCAAACACTTCAATTCTCCAAAATAAGTACTACTGAAAAATAAGCACTGGTAATTTTTCAAAAACTAGGTCAAACATGCTATAAACCAAGTTTTGCATATAAAACTAAAGCAATATAACATATTGGTGCACATTAAATCTCCACGCATTTCTACATGTGAATCATAATTGAAGTCAAGAGAGGATGCATAAATGTCAAAATATGGTAACCTGGTGGCAGTAATCATTTCGGATTTTCTTGCTCTATGTAAAACTCAACAAACAATTTGCCCCCAGCCCCCCCTCCACCCCCCCACCCCCAAAAAACCCAAAAGGAAATAGATGAAATCCCGTATTATGGCTGATAGGTGAATATGGTTATTTCTGGCTTGAAATTCAGATAAAAATCAAAGACGGATATCTTCAAGAATAGGAAAAGAACCTGTCACACTTTTTGACCTACAAAACTGTGTATCCTTTAAAAAAAAGTATTCCCAAATGTACTTTTGAGGACACAATTAAGAAAATGAAAAGTGAACTCCCTATACCAGTTTAAGTTTTTAGATGAGATCGTCACACACTTCAATATGGTATCTAAACAGGCATAGGTTCTAGGTTCGAGTTTCACTATCGTCCATTAACAGACAGTAATTTTACGTGCTTGGCTCATGAAAAAGAATCAAGCCTTCATGTGAGGGAACGTGTTAAAGACATAACTGAGAAAATAAAAAATGTGCTCTCTAACAGCTTAAACTTTCAAATGAAATAGTCACACACTTCAACATGTACAACTTACGAGCCAAGATAAACACTTGGGCAACAGGATTTGGTCTTTAATTACTAGAAAGCCATTTAAAGGAACATCATATAAAACACATCTTAGTACAGTTTGAACCTGCACCTTTTGAGTCAAATAATTGTAATAATACATAATGAATAAAGCACTGTAACACCATATTGAAAATCCGAACCTGAACCAACAAATTGCACGCCATAGACAGAAGATCTTCGCCATACATACTCTCTTGAGCATCCAACTCTTTTGACAGTGGGAGATTTTCACAGTACAATTGTGTCATCTTTACGGCTGTTGTCTCCAGCTCTGGAAAAGAAGAATGTTAATACTCTAGGAGCCAGCATCATCTCAGGGTTAATGCATGTGCTAGGATACAATCATGCTTGAACAAAAACAATATGCATCTTATGCACCAAAAATGGGCTTTGCACAGATGTTGACTTTCTTAAAAAGACATAACTTCATGAGATGATTAGATGAACTGAGATGTCAAAGCTTCTTACATGATTAGTGACACATTATGCTCGGCCACAAAACTATAGATATTCAAGACACTACAGGCTAGCACCATTTGAACTATTGATAACCATGATTGGTGCAAAGCATTTACTCTTTCCATCAAGAGAGCAGCAGACTCAGATTAATATTTTGGGAAACACCAAAAGAAGTCCACTTTTCTCGAAAGGTTCCAACTGTTGTATTCAGACCCCACTTATGGATTAAACTGGGTTTGTTGTTGTCGTTGTTGTTCCAACTGTTGTATTTCTTCTCCTTATAGATAATGTCTAATATAGCATCTCTAATTTGGTAAAGATCAAAAATCTGTCACATGCATATTTTTGTCACTTGACATAAAAAATAAAAATTTCAACTGTCATCTTAAACATCATGTCAAGTCACCCTAGGAACATGTTAAATAAGTGGAGTGAAGGCAAATGCTGACTGACGATGTAAGAAAAAATTTGAATTGAACCTACTACATCTCATTCCTAATAAGCATATAAAAAAGATGAGTTGTCTAGAGACTCCCAACCTCTCCATACAAGCTATGTACCTGCCAACCCCAACCACCACTCCACANTTAAATATTCCATTTCACCTTAACTTAAACCCCTACCATCACCAAAAACACAGTCCTTGCCACTACAAAAAGCCAACCCACTATTGATCCCTCGACTATAAAATTCCTCCCTCATATCTACTGTACCATTCTATTATTGCAACCTGCCCAGAATAAAAACATATACTGACAGTCCGCAAGCAATCCAAGATGTATGGACATTAACATATTTCAATGTTTCAATTCCCTTTCACTATGACCCCTAAGTTAAAATTCACGTCTTGGATAAAAACATTAATTCAACATGCATCTACTTCAAATCATATCCACACCCAAACTAAAGGAAAAAAAAAAGAACAGGCTATACATAAGTGCGTTCCTTCAGTTGATTCAACAGAGAAATGCACTGGGATATCAGTGTATAACTGTTTCTCCGTATGCACATACTGATATGTGCTTCAAGTTATGTGTTTGGCCATCCTTATAACGAGCACCTGTCTTCATCTTACACCGATATGAAAAATAATGTGTTCTAGATGTACCATTTAGTGGAAGAGTGAACATGCTTCCAACAATATTTTGAATTTTGAAGACAGTAATATGCTGCCCAAGAGTCTTTCTGGGATTTGTTGGAATAGGTTCACAGCATTCCATCAACTTCTCCAGAAGCTGTGTCTTCTTATCAAGATCCAAAATGTGTAAAAACGTTTCAACATCGGAAGCAAAACAAGCCAAATGTCCAAACCTGCAATCAAGGAAGGAAAACTCTAAGGATAATAAAGGGCAGCCCGGTGCACTAAGCTCCCGCTATGAGTAGGGTCCGGGGAAGGGCCGGACCACAAGGGTCTATTGTACGCAGCCTTACCTTGCATTTCTGCAAGAGGCTGTTTCCACGGCTTGAACCCATGACCTCCTGGTCACATGGCAGCAACTTTACCAGTTACGTCAAGGTAAATGGAGGTTATAATCAAGTATAACTACGAGACATCCCAAAACAGAGTAGAATACAACCCCGATTTGGACAAATCAGCAAAATGGAATGAGCATGACCGAAAAAGATTTCCCACAAAGTTATCCATCCGTGCAAAAGTTAAATATCTTTCAACAAGAACTTCAATTGCAGAGCACGTATGTTGATCAGTTCCAACTTAGACTCTCTAATTCACAACTCAGACTATTCTCAGTTGACATCCATGGTATATTCAATTCTAATATTACTTGTAAAACATCCTAAGGTAATGATGTTGTTGCTCATTACAGTCTTCAAGAAGAATCTCAGAAGTCTTACATTACCCTATCTTGATTTTAAAATTCAAATTAACTAGGGAAGGCAAAAAATTGATGAAAAATATTAGAATCTACCTGAAAAAATATTCTATCACAACCTGCGTCAACTTATTCGCATCACCCTTTCCATGTAAAAGTTTTCTTCTTTCAATCTCAATATTTGCCAAGTATGGACATCTTACAGTATCATCACTTGCCTCTGTTAACAACTTTTGTACAAGAGATGACGCATTTGATAGCCGAGAACCAAACTACATTCAACAACTTGCATGAGTCAGACATTATAGATTTTTGTCCTAGAAGCTGGAGTAACAATTCATAAATTACTAGGGATATCAGCAATTACTGCTTCATCTGTCAAATGAGAAACATGGGAGTCCATCGACTTTAGAGGATAAGTAGAATCATTCTTTGTTCCCATGCACAAGCTACCATCATCCTCCAGTAAACAGCCAAGATAATGGAGGAAACACTCCCAGTCATCAGGGCTGCCAAAGAATTTAGTGTTACACATACTTTTATGATGAACAGTGGAAAACAAAGCCAAAAATTACTTCCTACATGAGCATAAGAGAAATTAATATCATTTGGTTACCACCTCCATCATTCCAAAAGTAAGATTTCATGCAAGGTCAAAACTTTCATACTGACCTTGGTTCTTAAAGAGACTTAACATGGACCATGTGTAACAATAAAACAAGACAAAGAATGCTAGTGAGAATCTAATTCTTTATGCATAGTGCTTTTGCACTAAAACTGAAGAAATCTGCCAGGGTTATACGGGAAAAGACCTGCATAAAACCAGGCTTTGCTGTTTTGTGAACAAATAGAAAATAAAATGGTGAAACATTATTTGGTACTAGCTTTTTTTAAAAGGATTATTTGGTACTAACTTGATGTGTTTGGATAGAAAGAAAGACCTTTTTTTAATGGATAATCTAAGAAAAAAATGCTAGCATACGTCAAAACGGAGACAAAGATGAGTTTGTACTGCAGATAGCAGTCCTCATTTTGTCTCTGAAATTCATGATTAACAATACTTTTGGTGCTGTGTGCTGGTAGACTTGAATTTTCATGATTAACCATCTTTTTAGACAGCAAGAGAGAAAGAAGAACAGAAGAAAGACAATACATCCTCCTCCAGCTAAATGAATCAAAATCATATTAAAAATGAATCAACATCACATCAATGAAGCAGAAATTTGGTCGTGGAGGAACTATTGGCGAAGAAACTTCTAATTACTTTTCATTTGTGTACTTGAGTATACCCAGTTCTTGAAATAGGTGGAGATATCTTATGTCTAGGATGGAGATGTGCTGCCCTCAAAGTTTTATAAACTTTATAAGTACCCTAATATATTTAAATAGTTGTAAACGTTCCTCCTTACAAATAAATGTAAGGGGTAGCAACTTCATCATTCATAACAGGGGCTGCTTTATAATATGTTAAGAAATTAGATAACATAATATATAAAGGAATATAAGGAGACAAGAAATGACTAGAAAATTTTATCTTCCACCAGCTGATAAGTGAACTGTGAACTAAACTTCTATAAAAAAAGAAACTAATTTAGTTACTAAACTTGAGTAATCCATTTAATAACAAACTTTTGAACTTATAATTTAAACACTTCAGTTGTTTTTATTTCACTTAGTATCTTTAATGATCTACATTTCCATAATTTGGTCTTAAGTCAGACAAATTTCTTAAAAGAAAAACTAAGAATGGAGCAACAAATGCCATTTCTTAAAGAATAAAGATAATAAGTCAAACAGAATTTGAATGTTCTTATTCAATGCAAGTTAAATCCAAAATTTCCTCGAAACTCAACTGAGAGACAAATAATATGTCAGTGAGGAGGACGTTTTAATTGTCAGATTTAAATACGTGTTTGTGTGTGCGTTAAGATCATCTTGTTTGCAGTTTGGCTGTTGACTAGAACATGGAATTGCAAACAGTGTTACATAATTTTTTTCCACGGCGTTGGTGTCCGTTCCAGGTTGCCCTTGAAGAATTCACCGAGAGCTTGCTACAGCGGCAAACACAAATCCAAGGTAATCATGTCCACTAAAGGCTGGAGCAAGTCGGCTCCATTGAACCAACCCTTTGGATATCCAAACAGTGTTATTTAAACTTGTGTTGATACATCTCTAGCCTCCTTTTTTTCTTTTTTCTTTTTTACTGATCAAAAAAAAAGTAGGAATTCATTTTGTTGCATTTTTAAAAATACTCTAGTACCCAGAACCATTTGTAGCCCCTCCCCAGCCACAGTGCCTATATTCATCCCTGGTTTTGCTAGAAGCCATCTTATTCAAATTATTATCTTCTTTAACAAACAAAATATTCACCGAGACAAATTATCTTCTTTGGTATCTCCCAGAATATCTGGAAACAATGCCATAAATCATTCTAAAAGCATCAATGTTTTTTTTTTTTGAGATGGTAACATATTATTCTAAAAGCAACATATTTTGAGATGCTCTCAAGTCTCAATGTTGAAGACCTAAGAGAGCATCTTCAATATTCAAATTACTACAAGTAAAGACACAAACAAAAAATGAACATGAATCCATCAGCATTCTCAAATTACATACCATAGTTCTAAAACCTTCTGGAATATGCTAGTTGCAGCAGCATAATCACCTCCTCTGGCAAGAAGCCTCCCCTGTCAACTTGAAGTCAAAGAATGCACATTTAAGGAACGAAAACCAATGTTCCCTAGAAAATAAAGGAGAGCACCCTTGGACTAATATGCCATGAAATGAAATATATATATCCAATTTACAGAAAAGCTTTATTCTTTTCTTCTTTTTTCTTTGGACGGCACGGTGTGGGAGGGGGGAAAGTAAAGTTTTTCTACCATAACAACCAAGTACATAGTGCTGCTGCTGTCCCAGATCATTGCTGAAAACGTATTAAAAGCCCCTCACTAAAAAAAATTATTAGTGTCCAATTAACGCAAGAACAGAAAAGAAGAGGCTCCAAACATGATTAACACAGTATGGTTTCAACATTTTGAAGAACTGAAAAGATCATACTAACAAAAAAGAGAAGTTTTGCAAGGTTGAATTATGTGCTCCACAACTTATGGAAAACAATTTTCTATGCTTTCATGACAACTGTCACTTAGAGTCTGACACTTAAAGTGAAAGTTATCAACATTAAGGAGTAATATATCTATGAAAAATGCTATTCATACAATTTTTCTCTTTTGATAATTGAAGATGCTATTTACAAACACCTTGCACGAATTCTTCCTTGTTTAACAATCAACCATCAGTGATCCAAGTAGAATCGCGAACGCTAATTATGCAGTTGGGTGTTTTGTCTTGGCCAAAAAAGCAACTCCCTCTATCTTATTACTCCCTCCGTTTCAATTTAGATGAGTTAGTTTGACTCGGCACGGAGTTTAAGAAATAAAAAAAGAAACTTTTGAAACTTATGGTCTTAAAAGCTTAAGGGGTAAAAGATTTGCGGGCCATGACATTTGTGTGGTTATAAAAACTTCTCATTAAAGGTAAAATGGGTAAAATGAAAAGTTTAAAGTTAAATTATTTCCAATTGTACAAATGTGTCATTCTTTTTGGAACGGATTAATAATGAAATTGTGTCATCTAAATTGAAACAGAGGGAGTATATACAAAAAAGAGTCAACCAAGATTTTATCAAACTTCTTCCAAAGTATGTTGAATTTTTACGACATTAGGTTAATAGTACTTTTTTATACTCCCTCCATTTCAATTTATGTGAACCTAGTTGATTGGGCACGGAGTTTAAGAAAAAAGAGAAGACTTTTGAACTTGTAGTGTAAAATGAGGCACATATATTTTGTGTGACTCTAAATCATTGCATAAAGGTAAATTGTTTTCCAATATGAAAATGGGTCATTCTTTTTGGCACGGATTAAAAAGGAAATAGGTTCACATAAATTGAGACGAAGGGAGTAGTTCTTAAATATGTAGATTTTATTCTTAAATCAAGGGATTATTATACGAAACAAACCCTAATTATAGATACATTTGACCTAGTACTCTGAAACCAACATGTAACGACCTGATAGGTCGTTTTGAGTTCTAGCTTTCTGTTTCATGTTTTAAGACTTTGAATGACCTGATTTGATGACTTATGACTTGCGTGCGTAATCCGTTTTGATTTCTGGAAGGTTCATACGATGATTTTAGACTTGTATACATGTTTGGTTGGGGTCCCGGGTGACCCGAGACCGTTTCGGCGCTTATTGTGAAAAGTTGAAAATTTGAACTTTGAAATTTTTGAGTTTTGATGGTTGATTTTTTATTCTTGATGTTATTTTGGTGTTTTGAGCTTACGAGCAAGTTGTATGAAGTTTATATACATGTGAGGCTCGGGGGGCTAGAGTGAGTTTCGAGGTGGTTTCCGACCATTTCTGAACAATTTGCAACAGCTGATGTGTCGCTGGTGTAGTGTGCATCGCGAACGGGGAGCTTGTCTCGCGTTCGCAAGGGCATGGGGGAGTAGGCCTTCGCGAACGCAGTTGCCCAAACGCGAATGCGTAGGCCTGGGCTCTTGGGGGCTGGTAGGTATTTCTTCATCGCGAACGCGACCACAGGATCGCAAACATAGAGGCTTGGGGGTGATAGCCTTCGCAAACGAGAGGAAACCTTCGCGGACGTGATGACCAGTTGGCTGTTGACCTTCGCGAATGTGGCAGGTGCTTTGCGAACGCGAAAAGCACCTGACGCCCAGTTATATAAAGGGCTGAAAATCGGGATTTAGCTACTTTCACCATTTTTGAGACCTAGATCACAGATTGAGGAGATTGTTTAGAGGATTTGCATCCCTACTTCTAAGGTTAGTAATTTTTACCTAGTTTTGATTGATTCTCATGAATTCCCACAGATTTTTATCCCTAAATCTAGTATTTTAAAGTGTAGAAATTGGGGCTTTGGAGAAAAAATTATGAGGGCTAATTTTGGGGATTTGGACCACGATTTGAGGTCCAATCTTGATGCAAATCACATATTTGGACTCGGGGGAGAATGGGTAAACGGGAATCGATCTTAATTTCATATTTCGGCCATGTGGACCCGGGTTGACTTTTTGTTGACTTTTCCAAATGTGATAAAGATCAAACATTTTTTATACCAGGGTAGTTTCTAAAGTTTGTTTTGACTTATTTGAGTATTAATTGGCTAGATTCGAGTGGTTTGGCGGCTTGTGCTAAAGAAAAGACGATATTTGAGGGTTGATTTATGCCAAAAAGAGGCAAGTGTCTTGGTTAACCTTGATTTGAGAGAATTAGGACGCCATTGGGTCTATTTTCTATGTGCTATATATGTTGGGAGCGGTATATGCAAGGTGAAGAGTGTATATGCATTTGCTATGGGCTAAGCAAGCGGGTAGAACTAGCCTGATTTATGTTATGTTGTTTTTATGTATCATGTCTTACTTGCTTTAAATAGATCGCAAAATCCGTGATGTTATTCATGTTGATAGCTACGTTGGGATTGTTGAGATGTTGCGCCTTGGAAATTCTTGAAATGTTGGTTTAGCTATTGGTGCAAAAGTGATGGTTATCTCTCTTGTGGTGTGTTATATTTAATCACTCTTGTTGATGTTGTTATTGCTCCTCACCTTGTTTGGTACTGATTTTGCGTGTTCTTGGTGAGGATGAGTGTTATGCACGACGGGTGTTTCTGTGTTATGAGGTTGAGAGATATTACACGACGGGTGCATCCGTGCTGTGAGGTTGAGAGATATTGCACGACAACCGCTTCCATGCTGTGAGGTGAGAGGTATTGCACGAAGGGTGCTTCGGTGCTTGTGAGGAAGAGTGAATATGCACAACGGGTGCTTTCATGCTAATTGATATGTTACCTTCTTTTTCCTTGCTTTTACTATGCGGATAGAGGATTTGGCTATGTTGTTTCATGGTTGCCTCGTTGATTTCTTGGACTTGAGTTATTGTGAAAGGCTTGTTTGGTGTTATTTTGAAATTACAGTCATTATATTCCTTAGTTGCTCCTTTTATTATTTCTCGCATTATTATTACTTCTTGCTATTACAATTGTTATCTCACTTGCTACCTATTTGCTATCTTACTTCTACTTTTCTTGTTCTCTTAATTGTTATATCTCTCGTTATTTTCTCGTTACTTAACTACACAGGTTTATATGTTGGTTTCTTGTCTTAGCCATGTCACTACCTCGTCGGGTTAGGCTAGGCACTTACGAAGTACATTGGGTCGATCGTACTCATACTACACTTCTGCACTTGTGCACATTTTGCATCGGACCTAGCGTTACTCAGAGAACAGACTAGCTTGCTTGGTTGTGGAGACTCGAGATAGTGTTGCACTCTCGTCCGCAAGCCTTGATGTCACCCATCTTTTAGACTACTGTTTATTCGAATCAAACAATGTATTTATTATTTCAAACATTGTATTTAGTAATTCAGTAGAAGCTCATATACTCAGCGACTCCAGTTCTAGGAGGTGTTAGACAGTTGTTGGCTTTAGTTGTGTTATACATTACTGAGCTTTATCCTTTTATGATATCATGTTGTTTCATGCCTAGTTTTGTTCTTTTATTTCTATTAAATGTTGGCTTGCCTAGCAAGCGGTGTTAGGCGCCATCACGACCCCTTGGTTGGGAATTTGGGTCGTGACACAACATTCCTTTTGGGATAGAAAAAAGTATAATTAGCGAGAGAAATGCGCACTCTTGGACCCGAGGTTACACCCATTCCACGCGAGGTCTTGGTTATAACCGAGAAATTTCGAGGGCTAAAGGCGCACAGTTTGAAACCTGGTGGATAACAGGCCTGCCCTCTACCCTTCAGCACTTTAATACCAAGCACTTGCCAACGGCAGGATTTGAACCGGCGACGTGCCTAACCCACACATCATTTGTTGCGCTCTTACGATTCGACCAAATCCCTAGGGGCGAACAATTGCCCCCAAATGTAAAGGAACTTTTCCTTTCTCTTTCAAATTGATCGATTATTATTTGGATGGGTACTAGTCAACTTAATTAACGACCACAACTGTAAAAGCTGAAAAATGCAGGCAGTACCTGCAAACGTAGTCTATCAACTTCAGTCATTATAAGAGACCCAAATTTTCCAGTAAGAAGTTCTAAGGCATCTCCATATTTAGACTGCTGCTCTAATAAGGAAATGTATACAATAAGAGCTGCAAAAAAGCATGAAATGTTTCAGTAGATAGAATAAGGTCAAAGGATAAGAGTGTGTTGGGCCTGTTTACTCATGAGTTACAGGAGAATAAACAAAAAAAACCTTCCGGTTCATGTAAACTATGGGAAGCTATATGCTTCTTCAGCAGGCCTTCTGCTAAGAGTAACAGCTTCTCTCCTCCATTGCCACAGAGAACCTATAACAAGATGGAAAGAATATGAAAAATTAAACAATAACAAGGTTAAGTTGGACATCAAATGGTTGCAAAGAGATTAACAATTACAATTTTCAGGATCTACTCGCTGGAATTAGGAAGATTTAGGAGGCCGAAACTGCCATAGATTCAGAGGAAGTACATATGACGAACATACACACACTACAGTACTACTACTTTTTCTGAAGACCAAACAAGCAAAATCAGATAAAAAGGCACTAGCAAGGAGTAGCTAACATGACAGAGAACCAAGTGTGGCTAACAACATGATTAGTCCGCAGCCAAAAGGTAATCGAAGAAGGATTGAGAGCAAGATAGGAGCAAGGGTGTACAGAGCAAAAAGGGAGTGACACCTGTGAAAACATATGAAAGAAATAAGTGATTTTTACTTCTAAAAAATGTGTTAACATTTGACATAGTCATCCTCCAATCATGAGAAATATTTTTCATTGTAGCACTCATAGCGTTAACAAAAAAAAAAATGGAAAATGAAACGTAATATTTTCAACCAAAAAATCACCTTCTTTACTCCTGCATAATTTCAAAAAGGGCTTCAAACTCAGGCTGCAATAGTTCTAACAAGGAATGCAGCACATACTATAAAGTGCCCATGTGCGCAGACAAGACATAAATCTTTTCAATAGTAATTGTTTTTTCCCTCTTAAAAGCACCATTTCTGCTCCCCTCAAAAAATATTATTCAAAAATTCACTATTAACTTTAGCCTATCTGAATAAATATTATTCAAAGTTTCATGCAATCAGACAAACCACAGAATTAGATCTAGCAATAATGCTCCCAGAAAGTGTATCAGACTCCTTCCACATCACAATATAAACCTCATTAATTCTTAAAATCAGTCTCAAATACACATTAGCTTGTATGAAGTGCATAAAAAACAACAGAGCATATCCCAACAGATATTCAGAAGATTCGGCATCACCATTCCATAAATGAGGACAAACAGTCAAACAGAATGCTCAAGGTCAACCTAGAAGAATTAACTCTGATGAAATGGACTTCCACAGCTAGTTACTGGAATTTGATTTTCTAGCATAAAACGGACAGCGCCACAATAATAACATAATTCAATGGTAAAACAGATTAAACTGAAAGAGTGCATAAGAGTAGATAACCGCGATATTTTTTTATTTTAATTTTTGATAAGGTAGATAACCGCGATATTAGAGTACTGAATGGCAAAAGAAGTTTCCAAATTCCATTCAACAAGCATTGAGAAGCCTGTTTTGGATCATTCCCTAATATGCTAGAAGATGGTGGAAGAAGATTGGACCATCACCCTTCCATTATGAGCATATGTATCTCCAAGGAGGTCTAATAAGGCTGCCACAAGTTCCAGGTATGCTTCGCCAACCACGCCGGCGGCAGAATGTTGCGAATCAGGGAGTGTTGTGCCTGTTCAAGAAGGTCCAGGAAATGCTGGAAATATTCAGGGGGTTCAAAGGAGGGAAGTAACAGCACCAATATTTCCAGAGAACATGCTGAAGGACCTACGTTGACTGTAGTTCCCAGAAATAGCTGATTCTGGCAGTGCTGGTTGCTCCTGTATGTGTGAAAATCCACAAATAGAGAAAGATGGCCAACCATTAGCAATCATTGATGGAGAGAGATGACTTACCAAATAGGTGAGGAAAAAGTATTTTATGTTTTGGGGAGTTCTTGGGTGTGTCCTTTAAGGGGGGAGGAAGATAGGGTCTTAGAATTGTCACTTGACATTGAATTAGAGGCAAAAGGAGCAAGGCGGGCCAAGAGTGTGGATGAAAGGGAAAAGATGAGAAGGAGGAAGGGGAAAGCCCAAAAAGGATGGTGGTATATGGTGGTTTACAAGAGGAAGTTCAGGAGGATAGAAAAAGGGTGAATTCAAGGAGGCGAGGGAGGTTGGGAGGAAAGGGCAACGATATTGTCCATCGATGTTAAGATAATAACTTGGAATACGAGGGAAATGAATGATCCGAAATAAATGGACTTTGGGTTAAACTCAAATTCTAAAAGCTAGCTCATGAGGTGAGGATTACCCAAGATCATATAACGAGATTTACCCATCCCTCCACAGCCGATGCCGGACACTTCTGACATGGGCACGTCCAAGACAGGACATTTGGAGTGGGGACAACATAAGGTGGGGATTCAACATCAAAAACCAAGAATCTGGACAGGTCTGTCTCTGATACGATGAAAAAAATTGGACCTTAGGCTTAATTCAACCCCAAAAGCTAGCTCATGAGATGAGAATTTCTCGAGACCATATATAGAAACCTACCATCCCTCCCCAACCGATATGGGAATCTTCTAATAGACCCAAACAAAAGAGTCATCTTCAAGGTAGGAGTTCAAGAACCGGGACCAACTTACCATGATTTCAAGAAACAAATATGGAGGTTACGACCAATGTAATTGTTAGAATTGTATGGGGGTAGTGGGTTAAATATGATGTTTTTTCCTGTATTAGGGAGTGCAGGAGCATCCTTCTATTATGGATCAAGAGGAAGTTAGAAATTAAGGAGGTAAGGGAGGGTGAATTCATGATTGTGGCTCGGAATAACGATTAAAGGAGGAAATAGAGAGGTGATGAAGATAGTTGAAGGTGACAAGGCATTAAACCTGGATGCGTGTAATTTGACTATTTTCCAAATGTGTTGCCATATTATAAAAGATGAAATAAGGAAGACCTTGTAGTTCTTTTATTTGGAAGGCACATTTGAGAAAAGGTATAATGCTACTTTTATCGTTTATTGCCCTTAAGCAAAGATTCTTTAGCCGAGGGTCTTCCGGAAACAGCCTCTCTACCTTCCCGGGTAGGGGTGAGGTTGCGTACATCTCACCCTCCCCAGACCCACTTGTGGAAATCCACTGGGTTTGTTCTTGTTGTTGTTGTTGCCCTTAAGCAAAGAAGAATGGAGCTGTAAATATTAAAGATTACAGGCCAATAAGTCTCTTACAGGATTTATGAGATTATCGTAGAGGTGCGTACGGAAACACCAAAGGTGATGATGAATAACTTAGTATGAGGGACTCAAAATGCCTTTATTAAAGGTAAAAAGATTGTTGATGTTGTTTTAGTGGCTAATGAATGTCAGGATTAATATCCGTAAAAGGCGAAAGTAAGGTCTTATTGTCTACAACTACGTCTCACTCCCAAACAAGTTGGGTTCGGCTATACCAATCCCTGTTGACCACGTTATTGCATTTAAAATATCATGTCAATATTTTTTTAATAAGGTATCTCATGCCAATATTATGCAAATACAAATAAAAAGTATTAGTAAGTTCTGTAATAAATGTATAAATCCCTAAAGGTTAAACCACTTCTTAAAAGCATAAGACCTACGGTAAAAGTACTAAGATCTAAAACATATTCTATACTAATATATACCGCCTATATAGATCTTTTCTTCTAAGAAATTTGGAGGACAGTTCACTTGTGCATTGCATGGATAATATGGCTAGAAAGAAATAGAAGATGCTTTTGAAGGAAAGATGGAGTTCATACCTGTTGCAAAAGTTAAATGCATTCAAAACATATTGTATAGGCACAAGACTTTTTTGCTAGATATCGGTCTTATTGCTAATGAGTTTTGGGGTAAACTAATGTAAATTTTGCTGCTAACCACGTCCAGATGATGCAGAATTGTACAAAAGCTTGGGTGACTCCCATCACGAACTTAAAGAACCAACAAAGTCAAGAAGTTGATGCACGCCATTCACAATATTGAGTTTTTTCCAGCAAAATAAATTTCAGCAAACATCTAGCTTTCGAATCAGTATTGACGTGACGGTTCTTTCAAAGCATAGCAAATTCCTCCCCCTCCAAGGGTCCAAAAAATGTGTCTAGTATGGTACGTCATAGTTCCTGGATATGCTTCTCTACTTTCCAGAAACACGAGCTGATGTAGGCAGTCTTCGCGGTGAATGGCATCACAGGGTGAATTCCAGAAAGAGTTTCGAGACATGTTCTAGAGATCTCTTCCCACGACGCAGTGCAAGAAAAGATGATTCACATCCTCCAGATTATAAAGTATCAGTTTGTCAGTGCAAAGCCTCTTTTCATGAGATTATCCTGCATGAGGCAAGCTCTATGTAGTACTACCCAGCTGAAACACATCACTTTTGCAGTCACTTCAGTGAGCCCCCTTTTAAAGAGACTATCCTGCGTGAGGCAAGCTTTATGTAGTATGATCCTGCATATATTTCATCTGTATCTCACTGATGGATATAAAAAAATCTCGCAAATTACTACCTTTTCCATCGCATCTCCATTTAACATGTCCTCTATTTGCGTGTACCGATTGATTTACTCCAATCTATTTCCCATTCTTGACAATTCCTCCTGAAAGCGATAATCCACCTGCTGCCACTTTATTGCTAATTGAAGTTGTGAACTGAAAACAGTTGTCAGGAGTGAAGTGTAACTTAGATATGGAAAAGTTGTATGATCATGTGACTTGGAGTTCTGAGATACTCCTCCAAAACAGAGGGTTCCGAGAAAGGTGGAGGAATGGTTTCACCGATGCATCTCAACACTAAGCTCCCCCATAATAGTTAATGGTTCTTTATTTGAATTTGTGGCAGTAGTAGCGGACTCTAGCAATGACATCCATCATCTCCGATGCTTTTTATGCTCATGATGAAAGCTCTAAGTCAGTTGTTGGATTCTTCTACCCAAGGTGGATATTTGAGGGGGTTTAGAGTAACATTAGACTTATGAAGAAATTTCAACATCACACCTCTTATTTGTGGATGATACTTTGATTCTTTGTGATCCTTAGTTACAATAGGTTAGAGTGCTATTTAGTATCGTGATTTGGTTTGAGCCACTATTTGGGCTTCAATTGTTTTTTGAATAAGTACTGTTTGGGCTTCATATAAATGTGGAGATCAGAACGAATGCTAATTAAAAAGGTACGTAATGTACAGGGGCTAGCATAGGGATGTCGAGTTGTTGAGCTTCCCACCAAATATTTGGGTCTACCTTTAGGAGGAAGATTCAAGGTTGAGGAGTGTTGACGACAAGCGCTACAAAGTTTTGGGAAAATATTATTGGGGTAGAAGAATCAATATTTATTCAAAAGGGGTAGAGTCAAAGTGATAAATTTGAACTTCTCAAACTTCCTTAATTACTTTGTGTCTATGTTTCAAAATCATCAATGCAATTCATAATCAGACTTGATCCTGATACGTAAAACAATCCAACTTTGAATGAATAAAATGCTGATTTTTTGTTTCATATTTTCACATGTCATTCAACTACGCTTAAGTGAGCTTCTAAAGACACAACCGATCACAAACCCGAGGAGAGGAAGAGGAATTCGAGCCAAAGTAAAAATATTCCAACTAGGATGACTCCACTTAACACTAACATACATGTATAGAGCAGAATGAATATGAAGGATTTATATGATATACTGCAGTTAATTTGGTAAAAAGGTGTAGTTGGTTGCTTGATCGACTTTCTAAAGCACTCCAATTTGTGAGAAATAAGAAAGTAATTAACAACGAATTGGATTTAATGCACAAGACTAGACTTAGCATGTTTGGCCACGCTTCTCAAGAGGCCAAAAGTGCTTTTTTTCTCAAAAGCACTTTTTTTCCTAACTTGAGTTATTTGGCCAAGCTTTTTTGGGTAAAAAAAGTGCTTTTGGGAAGAAGCAGAAGCAGTTTCGGAGAAGCAGAAAAAGTAGCTTCTTCCCAAAAGAAGAAGCAGTTTTTGACTTTTATTCTTACCAAAAATACCCTTAACAAAATATAGTATATACCAAAATAACCGTTAAACCTAATACTTAGGATATTAATGTATAAATTTTTCTTATTATTTTTAGGATAGCTTTCTAATATATAGTGACTTTAGGGGTGAATGCTTTTATATTTGTTGAATGATTTTTAATATATTTAACTTATATTAAAAGAATTAAGTACTTTTAAATTTTATTTTCATATTTTGCTTAAATAAAATAAAAAGATTTAATTATTGCCTGTAATAACAAATTTTTAAGATTATTTATTTATTTATAATATTAACTATTAAGTAAATCTATTTATGTCCTCACTTTCTCAAAAGCACGGTCAAACACAAATTATTGCTCCAAAGTGCTTTTCAGAGGGATTAGCCAAAGACAAACTGTTTCTACTTTTGAAACTTTTTTCAAAAGCACTTTTGAGAAAAGGAATTCTCAAAATAAGCTTATTTCTCACGCTCGGCCAAACAGGCTATTAGTTTGAGCTTAAGGAAACTGAAAAAAGAAGACTAAAAACAATTGGAAACAAGACCTGAATTATCTTTCCGGTGGAACAAAGCTAAGGAAAAAGATAGAGTAGGAAGTGAAGACAGAACCTGCAACTGAATGCTGCATACTGCCCAAAGCAGGAACCTTTCTTCACCAACAATCTTGTACATTTTAATAGCTATCTGTAAATGGGTAAAAGAAATGATTGCAAAATTTAATAAACAGAAAATGAAACTTGTACTTGAGAATAGATGCTGCCAACCTGTTGTTGCTTCACAAAAGAGTATTCGCGGACGTAGCAGTTGAAGAGACCCATCATTAGATCCAGGTTAGTCGGAAATTTCCCACAAGCATACTCGTAGCAACTTGTTGCCATATCCACTGTGAAGATACAAAACATTGAGTGAAAAAAGAATGAATGACGAGCTCGGTAGAAAACATCAAGATACTTACAGTGGTCAAGTCGCTGGAAAACAATCTGTAGAGTGCTGAGAGTAAGATCGTCAATCAAGACAGAGTCATTAGTGTACAAAAGCTCTTTGGCATTTAAGCAAACGGAAAATGCTTCTTCCGCTTTACCCATCCTTTCCAAAACCAAAGCTTTAAGTGCCAGAGCATAAGGGGAATTGGGGTATTTGGAGAGGAGAGGGGTGCAGTGCTTGAGAGCATTTTTGAACTGGCGAGAATCAATGGCATCCCAAATGGGTCGAACTCTACGCTCCGGTATGCCACCAGCCAACCCAAACTTGGACGCCATTTTCCAGCCGTTTGAGAATTGGATTTACTTCCTACTGGATTTCAGAGTCAAAGCTTGTGGTGTTAACTTATCAGCTTTGGGAGTCGGCTTAAAGCTATTTTGTGAGAGAGAAGAAAAAACCTAATTGATGTCTACAGCGTATACATTGCGGTCTGGTATATCCGTGCAACTTCAGTGTTGTCGGGCTTATTCGGAAATGATTTGGGTTATTTGGATGACATACAAATTACTTTGTATTAGATATAATTACTACTTTAAAAATTACCTATAATTATTAGATATCAGGTTTGGATAATACGTTTTTTTTTTTTATATTTGTAACAACTCAACTCTTTCATATTAGTACTTTTTTATATTTGTCGCAACCCAATCCAAATCATATTTGTATTTTATTCTGTGGTCAATATTAAAGAATACTAAATATTTCACGTTGCAATATATATTCATGTCTTGTTTGAGCATATTATTTTAAAACAATTCTTACAACAACTTTATTTTTACCTCAAAGTCGAATAAGTCTTATTTTTCTACATTTTCACCAAAAACAAATCTCTATTTAATCTTTGCTTATAGTTGTTGCATTATTCATTACTTAATATAGTCATATTTTTATGTGATTTTTTGTTAACTTACCGATTTACTCAATATATTGCTTATTACCTTTTTGATAATTATATATAAATATAAATTTTTATTTCTAAAATTTAATATATTTTTATACTTTTATCCTCTTACTTAGAGCTCTTTCGTCATTTAAATCTATCAAAAATAAATTTGAGTATTATTTAATAAATTTAATATGCTTATCCTTAAATTAATTCAAAGTATAAATATTGTCACACTATCTCTATTTTCCTCTTTATATAATTTGTACCCCTATTTTGAAATTTTAATTATTTTTTATATTAATATCATATAATATAATCAAAATATATCACATTTTATTTTACGTTATAAAATTGAATTAGTCTAAAATATTAATACATAAGTTTTAAAACTATTATATTTTAAATCTATTGTACTTTCTTATGATTATTTTTATATCACGTGCAATTATATTTTCTTTCTCTTTTAGTTTTAGGATAAATATTTAAATTTTATTTTCGTTACTAAATTACCTACATGAGACATTTATTTTGTATTCTTAAAATTTTAATTTGTTATTCAATTGTTATTTTTATTTATCTAGAAAAACTTTAATTTTGTGGTCCTATTCATAGATTTTTACCATAATTTTAATCTAATCTCAAGTTCAAATCATCTTTCCCTTCTATTTCTAATATTAAATATTTTTGAATTTTTAATTATTGCTATTACGTTATATAATATATAGTATTTCATATTTTCATGTGACCTCCATTAACTTTCCTCTTTATTTAGTATCATTATCCATTTATATCATTTAATATAATATAGATCAATGTGTAATTTTTTAATCTTGATATAAATATTTATATTATTTTAAATTAATACTCAAAATTAATAAATTATTTAAATTTATTAATAATATTTGTAAGTATTATATAGTAAAATTTCTAATATTTTCATTTAGTTATTTATAATTAACTAATTAAGAAATAAGTTATATGTGACTTTTTCTGATTATGTCATATAGCTAAATTAGTTATTAGTTAATGGTTAATTAGTTATACATTACATGTGGCTAATTTAAAGGCAGCCACTTGGCTTAAGGAGGGGGTTTTTCCTCTCCTTTTAATAATATATAGATTTAAATTAATACTCGAAATTAGTAAATTGTTTAAATTTATTAACAATATTTTTAAGTATTATATAGTCAAATTTCTAGTATTTTGATTTTGTTATTTATAATTAATTAATTAAGAAATAAGTTATATGTGACTTTTTCTGGTTATGCCATATGGCTAAATTAGTTATTAGTTAATTAGTTATACATTACATATGGCTAGTTTTAAGGCTGTTACTTGGATTAAGGAGAGAGTTTTTTCTCTCGTTTTAATAATAATAATAATAATATATATNCTCACTTATCTTTTTTCTCCTTTTTTGCTTTTTTTCTCATGATGTTTCTGTTTATCTTAACTTTAAAAGTGCACAAGTCCCTAAATAATTACTCAATTAAAGGTGAAGGGAGTTACTTGAAGAAAATAAAAGATGAAATACGTTACTACCGTTTTTCATCTTCCTCTTCTTTATTGTAGTAGATAAACCCGTAAATATTATTAAAGGTTACTTTTCATCCTATGCAAATGTAGAGAACTAATCACCTCTTCCCTCCCCAAAATGAAAGAGCCTATGGTTAACCAAGTAATTGTTGACACAAAATTCTTAAGTAAGAGGAAGCAAAAGTAAATGTCGATGCAAATACTTAAGAGTATAGTGAAGGCAAAAGTGTCCGTAAAATCTCAATCATTGAGACACCAGTGAAATGCGGAGGCAGTTGTGTGACTCCTTTCGGTGGAAGTAGAAGAGGATATGCGGATAAATATCCATTATTTACTCTTAAAGTGTTGTTTGTCGCAGGTAGGAAAAAGTTTGTTATCAGCTGTGATATTTTCGTAAGAGCTCTTTGGGGTTAATTGATCAAAACATCTTAATACTGGTGAAAAGATTCATAGTATACTATATACTAGAAATATAGTATCTTTGTGCATATATAGATTTCGTTTTATAGCTTTCGATTGAAGAACTACGAATATATACTATATACTATATGTTGATAGCGTGTAGACAAGAGAACATTTTGTGATTCAGTTTTATAGCTTTCGATTTCCCACTTGAGATGTTAAAACATGTAGTTTAGTGATGTTTATACCTCAATACCACACAAGAATGGTGATTTGTGTAGTGCCCAATTTTTACGTGCACTAGATTATCGAAGGACCTGGTTCTTCTATCTGTTCCTTACACTACAGTTGTGGAATAAATAATGCCAAAAATAAAGAACACAAGGATTTTTACGTGAAAAACACCCGGCTCAAAATGTGAAAAAATCACGAACTACTACCCAGTAGGATTTTCCCCAAACACTTTACTACAACTCTGAGCCAACAACAAAGTTTACAAGCTCTTGCAAACCTAAGGATTACCTCTAACCCTTGTAGCAACCAGCCACAGGCTGTTGCGACTGCTTCAAATTAACTCTAACTTGAACAATACAACTCGAGTTTACAACCTCTTGCAAACCTAAGGATTAACTCTAACCCTTGTAGCAACACGCCACAGGTTGTTACGACTACTTCAAATTAACTCTAACTTGAATGATACAACTCAGGTACCTAGTACAATTTATTTCTAAGAAAGCTGAAAGGTACAACTCAAAACGCATACTACACTTTGAACTAGAAGTAAAGACAGCACATAAAACTCTTTATAGAATTAGTTCTTCAATCTGGTTCGTGTAGCTTCAGGATCACACTCTTGAATCTCACAGGAATTGCTTACAAAATACCTTGCTATTTTGTTCTTAATTCGTGCTTTCACTTTTGTATGTGTGTGTCACCTGTAAAAGAGAACAAAACTGATATTTATAGAATTAGTAGAAAAGGATTAACTAGAGTTCTAATGCTTTACTCTTCCTTGGTGGAAGAGTTCTAGTTAACTTCAACTTCTAACTATTCTCTTATCTTGGATAGAGTTCTCTTCGAGTAAGGAGCCCTGCTCCTTATCAAATATGCAACATTTTCGTTCAGGGGTTATCAGAATTAACCACTTATATTTTTCCCTTTCACGTGTATGCCTTTTGCTTGATTCTGTCTGTCACCTGTGTACACTATCCATGGACCTGGTCCATGCATGTATTCCTTTGTCAATCATCAAAATCAAAATCACTCTGGTCAATAAATTCCCCATTTTTATGATGACAAACTCTGTGCTTTTCAAAATCATGGAACCTGTTTCAACTCAGCTCAACAACAACAATCGCAATGTTAGAACACTTTCCATTTAAAGTCATAAATTATCAAAGACCAGGTTCATAAGGTTATAAACATCACGGTCCAAATCAAAAGCACGCCTTATCTTCCCCCTTTTGGCATCATCGAAAAGTTGCATAATTTAGTTAAGTAACCAAATTTTAGTAGATATCACTCATGGTCACTGGGGCTAATTCAAATGCAATCATGGATTCAATTTTCTCTTATCAATTTAAGGATATTATCCATCTAAGAAATATCAACAAATAATTAGCGCAAAGGCAATGAATATTATTGATAAGATTCTTCCACAAAGCATAAAAAGAAATAAAAGCACAAAACCATGAGCAAAAAAATAAAATCCACTTGGGTCACTGGTTACAAATGAGCTAGGAAGGATTTAGGACTGGGAAGGAGCAGGTTCTTGGTTTAAAGTAGCTGCAGCATATCTTGAAGAATATCATCATTCCTTTCCTTATACTTTACAAGCTCACACTTGAGAGAGTCTCTCTCAACATCTACTTCAGCCAATCATTTCTTCAGCCCTTCAATCTCAGCATCCTTAGCTATTTTCTTCCACTATTTTAGTCTTCTTGCTCCTTTTGGCAGACGTAGTTCTTTTAGACCCAATTGAGCCCTCAGTCTCAACCTCTGTTTCTTGAGAATTATTTTGAGAAGTCTATCTCTTTTTGGCACTAGGTGTGGTGCTTCCATATCCTCATATTCATCTTCAAGAACCAGGTTCATCCCCTCAATCTGGACTACTCCACTTGGCTTACCAACCCTTTTTTTCTTTCCAAGCGACTTTCTTGGCAATCTCAGCTAAAGCTCTTCTTACATTGGCCTCATTCTGCTTCTTCTGGCTCCTTGTAGTTCTTCCTCTTGTGGGAGGAATTGCTATAGGTATAGAAGGCGAATCCTTTCTCTTAGTGCTACCCATGCCCTTTCCTGGAATCTTTCCAACTTTGCTCTTCTTCTTTGGATTGTAACTACCTGACACCTCTTGCAGCAGACCATGAAGGGGCTCTTGTTTGTTTTAGCAAGAGAAGGTACCGGTTCATGAAACCATTTCTTAAACCTATCCAGCCCCTCTGCTGCACTTATATCACAAGAACCATCACCCATCTTTTGTGATTCTATACCTATACTTTCATTCAAAGTCTCCTCATTATCACTAATCTTTTCACTCCAGACTACAATTGCACTTGTCTCCTCATGTAATCCACAACTAATGGGTGAATCAAATCCAGCTACTTGTTC